TTTGGACCATAAGGGTAAAATTTTTACTTTGTGCCAAAAATCAAAATACTAGAAATTATAGTATGAGTTCCGGCCTACATATCCTAATATTTAGTTATCAAGTTTACAGATTTTACTGTTTTTTTCTAAATGTTTGGTCCCTAAATGTTAATTTTTTACTTTGTGCCAAAAATCAAAATATGAGAACCTATAGAGAGAGGTCCTGCCTACATTTCCTATTATTTAGTTTTCAAGTTTTCCGATAGGCCTCCGAACAAAATTTTCAAATCTCTTTTTTGACAAAATCACACAATTTGTTTTTGAACCATAAGGGTAAAATTTTTATTTTGTGCCAAAAATCGAATACGTGGAATCTATAAAGGGATGCACGGCCCACATTTCATAATATTTAGTTTTCAAGTTTACAGATAGGCCTCCGAACAAAATTTTCAAAAAACTCTTTTTTGACCAAATCACTCAATTTGTATTTGGACCATAGGATTCAATCTTTACTTTGTGCCAAAAATCGAAATATTAGAACCTATAGTGTGAGGTCCGGCCTACGTATCCTAATATTTAGTTATCAAGTTTACAGATTTTACTGTTTTTTGATAAAATCACTCTTTTTTTGGTCCCTAAATGTCCATGTTTTACTTTGTGCCAAAAATCAAATTACGGAAACCTATAGAGAGAGGTCCTGCCTACATTTCCTCTTATGTAGTTTTCAAGTTTACCGATAGGCCTCCGAACAAAATTTTCAAATACTCTTTTTGGACAAAATCTCTCAATTTGTTTTTGAACCGTAAGGGTAAAATTTTTTACTTTGTGCCAAAAATCAAATACGTGTAATCTATAAAGGGATGCACGGCCTAAATTTCATAATATTTAGTTTTCAGGTTTACAGATAGGCCTCCGAACAAAATTTTCAAATCAAAAATCAACTGCTCAGTAAATTTCAGTATTTTGTGAAATATGTCTCTATTCGTTGACTTTTTAGAAATTTGTGAAATACTTCACACAAGTAGAAATATCTTGCAAATTTCTAAAAAGTCAACTAAATAGTGAAATATTTCACAAAATCTTGCAATTTACTGAACAGTTGAATATAGAGATTTTGAGAAATCTTAGCATTTTTTTAAATTTGTAGCTAAATGCAGGACTGTTTCTAGACTGTTCAGTAAATTGCAAGATTTTGTGAAATATTTCAATATTTGGGTAACTTTCTAAAAGAAATCGTTGACAAACTTAGAAGATTTTGTGAAATAAGTCGCTATTCAGTTGACTTCATTAAATTGCAAGATTTTGTCAAATATTGTTTGACTTTCTAGAATAAATCGTTGACAAATTAAAAGATTTTGTGAAATATTTCACTATGCGTTGACTTTTTATAAATATGCAAGATATTTCTACTTTTTATAGAGATTTTGTGAAGTCTTTGAATTTTTTGTTAAATTGGTAACTGATTGTAAGACTGTTTTTAGAAAATCAATCAGTAAATTGAAAGATTTTGTGAAATACTTCACTATTTTGTTGATTTTCTAAAAAAGATTACAAGAAATTGTGAAATATTTCACTACTCAGTTGACTTTTTATAAATTTGAAAGAAATTGCTACTTTTTATAGATATTCTTTGAAATATTTCACTATTTAATTGATTTTTTAAAAATTTGCAAGATATTTCTTCTTTTGTGAAATATTTCGCTATATATTTATACTTTTGTGAAATATTTCGCTATTCAGATGACTTTTTAAAAATTTGCAATATATTTCTACTTTTTATAGAGATTTTGTGAAATCTTTACATATTTAGAAAATCAACTGTTCATTAAATTGCAAAATTTTGTGAAATATTTCACTATTTGGTTGATTTTCTAAAAAAATAGTTGACAAATTAGAAGATTTTGTGAAATACTTTACTATACAGTTGAATTTTTAGAAAAATGTCCTAAAAATCAACTGGTCAGTAAATTACAAGATTTTGTGAAAGATTTCAAAAGTCAGTTAACTTTTTAGAAATTTGCAGGACATTTCTACTTTTTAAAAAGATTTTGTAAAATCTTTGCATTTTTTTAAATTTGTAACTGAATGTAAGACTCTTTCTTCTAGACTGTTCAGTAGGTTAGGTTAGGTTTACACAGGTAGCCAATTTCGGCTTTACTTGGGTCCATGTTGATCCCTTTGTAAAAATACCTGTAAGAAGAAGAAAAGAAAAGAGAGGGAGAGATAGAGGAGAGTGAAAGAACAGAGACATTTGCAGAGAGAAGAAGATGATGAGAGATGAGAAAGCCAGGGCAGCTGCCGTGGATGAGTAGTGTGAGTAATAGGATTCACACCCATTTTGACAAATTAATGAACTCTAGAAGACGTTCTAATTGAATGTTTGACAAATCGGTTAGATCACCAAAGTAGGTCGATCCAAGCGTCTGAAAACGGGCCTCCGCCAAAGCAGGACAATCGCAGAGAAGATGAGTAATAGTCTCTTCTTCATCCTCGTTTTGACAACTCCTACAGTAGTCGTTGAACGGGAGACCAATGCGTCTAGCATGGTTCCCAAATTTACAGTGGCCAGTGATTATTGATATCAGCCTACTTAACTGCGGTCTTTGGAGACCAAGAAGATATTTAGACCTTTGAGGATCCATTTGTGGCCACAGTGCTCTACATGTTGAGCACGTGTGTTCACGCGACCATTTGTCGCGAGCGATGCAGAGGCATTTTTCACTGATTTGCCTCTTAACTGCAAGTAGTGGTATACCGCAGAACTGATCAATATCCATTCTGCTAAGCATAGTGCCAGCTCTTGCCAATGTGTCAGCAATACCGTTGCCATACGAGTTCCCATGTCCCTTTACCCAGATTAGGGTGATGTTCGAATGTCTCGCCATCTCATTGAGAGACGTCCGGCATTCATGGACAATTTTGGATGTGGAGAACACACCAGTTAGGGATTTAATAGCAGCTTGACTATCAGTATAAATTCTGATATCCCTATTAGATATCCGATAGTACCTTAGCCAATTTACCGCCCTCCTTATCGCCGATATTTCAGCCTGAAGGATACTACATTCATCATTAAGTCGAAAGGAGATTTTCGTTCCAAATTCCTCAATGAAAATGCCACCACCAACTCCTTTCGTCGTCTTGGATCCGTCTGTATACTCTCATACTCCGAAGATATATGATATTGGAACTTTCTCACTAGAGATGGTACTGGAATACAATAATCAACAATGTACTGATTATCCGGTATAAGATCTATGATCCTAGCATGGCCTATGGAGCATTGTTTCCATTTGCCAGTTACACTCAATCTGGCCGCAGTTGACATAGCCAATTTCCTTGCAAGGAGATCGACCGAGAGCCAGTTGAGCATAGTGAACAGCGCCTTCGAAGGAGTTGTTCTGAGAGCGCCTGTTATAAGAAGCGCAGTTGATCTCATTACTTTTTCCAGTTGTTGTCTGAGTGAAGCCTTTTCAAGCGCGTGCCACCATACAACAACCCCATATAGCATAATAGGTTTAATGACTGCCTCAAAGAGCCAGTGAACATTCTTTGGATTTATGCCCCAGCATGTTCCTATAGCCTTCCTACAAACATATAGTGCCGTAATGGCTTTAGATGCCCTAGAGAGTACATTTGTACTCCAAGATAGTCTCTTATCTAGGATAACGCCAAGATATTTAGCGCTGTCCGAGAGTTTTAATACTTCGCTGTTAAGGCAAGGAAGAGGAAATAAAGGAATCTTGTATTTGCTAGAGAATAGCACAAGTTCCGTTTTACTAGGATTTACACTAAGACCACATTCGACACTCCACGAGCTAATGATCTTTAGTGCTTGTTCTAGCCTTTGGGATATGGTTTCAAGGTGATCGCCTGATACCGCAACCGCGACGTCATCAGCATAGGCGACTGTTTTATAGCCAAGAGAGTCTAGTTTTACCATTTATGGCCATGTTCCATAAGAGTGGTGATAGTACTCCCCCTTGTGGAGTACCTCTTAAAACTTTACTAGAGATTACTGTATCTCCTAAGGTGGATTCAATGATCCTATTTGAGAGAAGACTCTCGACAAATCCCACAACTGACCTACCAAACCCAGCCCGAGATAGAGATTGGCAGATAGATGCAGGATTGACGTTATTAAAAGCGCCTTCTATATCAAGAAAGGCAACCAGTGAATAATTTCCATACCTCATGGATTTTTCAATATGACCAACGAGAGTATGAAGAGCCGTCTCAACAGATTTGCCCTTCGTGTATGCATGTTGAGAGGCAGAGAGAAAGGATTTATCTATCGAGGTCCTAATGTGGATATCGATTATCCTTTCCAATGTTTTCAGCATAAATGATGCCAGACATATTGGTCTGTAATCTTTTGCCTTAGTGTGTGAAGTTTTTCCCCCCTTGGGAATAAAAATCACATTACACTTGGTCCATTGAGTAGGAATGTATGACCAAGAGAGACAGGCTGTGTATAAGTTCCGCAGCCAAGGAACTACAAGATCTATATTGTGTTGAAGATCTGCAGGAATAATACCATCAGGGCCGGGCGCTTTGTAAGGATCAAAGCTTTTAATTGCCCAACGGATAATGTCATCTTCAATAGGCACGTGTGTTACAGTCCGCATTGAAGTTGGAGAGAAATTAGTCAAATCACTAATTGGAATACAACCAGGAAAGTGAGTACTAAGGAGAAGCTCTAAAGTCTCCTGACTACCTGAAGTCCAGCTCCCATCCATTTTCTGTATATAGCTAGGAACAGAAGGGGACTTTGACAAAATTTTACGGAGACGACTGGTTTCGGAAGAGCTTTCAATATTGCTACAGAAAACCCTCCACGAGTTCCGCTTCGCATTCCGAACCAAATTTTTAAACTTATTAACGTTTGCCTTATAAAGGGACCAGTTACCTGATCTCTTAGCCTCGTTAAAAGAACGGCGGCATGTCCTTCTCATGCTCGCTATGTCAGGACTCCACCACGGTGGTTTGTCCTTTTTTAGGCCACTGGATAATCTACAAGATCTCTTCGTGGCAACGCTCAGAGAACTAGCAATCCAATTTGCAGCCAAATCAATATCCCTTATGCTCTCTACCGTCGGAGCAGAGGGAAGAATAGTACTCAGAGAAGCTTTGTGCCTCTCCCAATTTGTTTTCCTTCTATTTAGAAAGGGTTTTGAAACTTTGACCTGGACCACTATGTCAAAGTCCAGGTAGCGGTGATCAGAGAAGGAGCAGTCATTGGAGACATTCCAATCTTTGATCAATTCTATGTAGTTTGTACTAATAGCTGTAATATCCAGAACTTCCTTTCTGTTTGTCACAACAAAAGTAGGTTCTGAACCTCTATTAACGACTGTCATATTAAATTCTAATAAAAAGTCAAGTAAACACTCACCTCTACTGTTGGTGTCTGAACTGCCCCAGACACTGTGATGAGCATTTGCATCAGCGCCAATTATCACAGGAACGTGACGCCTATTTGCTTCGCGCATTAGATCTCTGACCAGGTCGTTTGGCGGTTGTTCACCATGGTCATGCGCCATATAGCAGCTAAGGAGCCAGATGGTGGAGTTTCCGGTCTCAAGTGCCGCCGCTACCGTATCCTCATCGCTATAATCAGATAAGATGAAGATATCTAAATGGTTTTTGGGCAGAATACAGGCTCTAATATTTTTAATATTACCTGCAGGATTTGAAAACAGAAGTTTGTAACCTCTGAGAGATAGTCCAAGGATTTTGCCGTGGTGGGTCCACGGTTCTTGGACCAAGATGAGCTCCTCCCCTCTCTCAGCCATCCGGAGGAGCAAAGCAGCTGATGCTGCTTTGGAGTGGTGAAGGTTAATCTGGGTTACCTTCACCATCTCCGAGATCAGGATCGTACACGACAGTGACGTCGACGTCCTCAGGATCGGAATCCTGCGAACTGTCTCCATCCTCCGATAACTTCAGATTGCCAAGAAGCTCACCCATTATACCTGTGGTAGACTGGGAGTCTTCTTGGTTCTCAGAACCAGCGGGATCGTCGGCCTTTCCATTATCCTCCTTGGACGGAGCCTCCGGCTTAGTACCAGAGGCGGCGGCGCTGCGTTTGGCGTCACTGCGATAAATGCGAAGGGAGATACTATCAAAACCATAGTAAACTTTACCTCCGCATTCACGCAATGGCGCCAACGTTTCCTTATTAAGGACAACAGTCGCCTTTCTGACATTTCCCATCGGGGCGGAAACCTTCACCACCTTCCAATCATGGGTAGGTAGATGAGGATTTCCGCTTTGTAGGAACGCCAGAATTTCCGCCGGGTCATGTGGCTCAGTTGGGATGGTGGCAATTGATCTCGGCCTGCGAGGAATTTCGCTAACCGGGATCACGTCCAACCTTGCACCTGGCCACACTTCCCCAAGGGATTGAATAGCTAGCTTGAGCAGAAGCGCAGAGCGCTCATTTGAACAAGCTAGCAGCTTAATGTGACCCTGGTACCAACCAGCATCATCGTTTTGGGGGGCGGGTCCTGGATTCTCCTTGAGGATCTTCCAGTACACGCCTAGCATCTTCTGACGGATAGTCCCCCATTTTTCCTGGGAGATGGCTCCGTCGCTGTTGCTTTGGTCAACAATAGCCCTTACCAGTGGGTTTCTAGCCACCTCACTGAAAGGTCTATTGATGACAATGGTTTGCGCCTGTTTTTGACGTTTAGTCGGCTGGTCGTTCGGCATAGAAGTAAGGGTCTCCTCCTCAGATCGTTGCCGTTTAGGCGCCTCGGCAGCAGGTCTAACCACTTCTGCCTCAGCTGGAGGATCGGAGCCCTTTAGCCTAGCCAGGAGGCTTTTCGCCCAATCGAGGGACGATTTCTCGTCTCTCGTTAAAGCATCGTTGGGTTTGGCGCCATGACGCTCAACGATGCGCTTGGCGGCCCGCCGATGAACAAAAGCCCTTCTGGAAGGTGTTTTGTGCCTGGGGGAAGACTCTAGGGATACATTGGAAGAGCCCGACAACGAGTTCGACGACTTTTCCAATGTAGGGGGAGGTGCAGCAGAGGAATCCGACATCGGGGTCGACGATTCCACATTCGCACAGGGCACTTGGGAGACCTTGTTGTCACCCGAAGATAGGGATTGAGCTGACTTTGAATCAGCAAGGGCTGCTTTTGCGGCTGCAGAGGTACTCGCCACGACAGGCAGAGGTACCTCACCGCTGGGACCTTTACCCACACCCGAAGGCTTAGTGGGCGGTTTTGGTTTACAAGCAGCCAGCTTGGGCCGGCTACTTGCGGTTGTTGTTGTTGTTGTTGTTGCTCCAGAAGCTCGCGGAGTAGTCAAGCCTGGTGCTACCACCTGACTAGTCCGGACGCCAGTCGCATTCGATTCACCACAGCCCGGTGTCGCCGCTGTGGGAATAGGGTCTCCGGATATTATCAAGCCCCGGACCGGATACGAGGGGCATTCTTTTTTCTCTGACATTCTTGGGGGGGGGGGGTTTGTTGCATTTTTGGCCTACTGCCAGGACTATAAACTGCCGTCCCACTGGGAGCAAACAGACCATCAAGCCGTCCAATCTGGAACAGACGCTTGATGGATTTCAGGACTTGCACACTTAAGTGCGTGAATCAAATGATTCAAAACGGACTTTCTGTTGATTGCCCTGTCTCAGTGACAGGAGAAGCAAATCAACAGATCGTTACTAACAGACCGCCCAATGTGGGAAACAGACATCTGTTAGGTGGGAGGGGTAGTTCTTAGTTTCGTGCTCGTCTCATGACCCGTCTGACAAGGGTGACCCCTAGGAGGCAGCCAGCTCAAGCAAAGCTGTCTCCGTCAGCATGGCCCATGAGATTCATCGCACTTAAGCCTTCACATCGCGACAAGATGACTACCCTTCGTGAAGGACTGTTCAGTAAGTTGCAAGATTTTGTGAAATATTTCACTATTTGGGTGACTTTCTAAAAGAAAATTAGAAGATTTTCTGAAATAAGTCTCTATGCAATTGACTTCAGTAAATTGGAATATTTTGTTAAATATTTCACTACTTGGTTAACTTTCTAGAAAAAATCGTCAACAAAACAAATCCTAAAAACCAACTGCTCAATAAATTTCAGTATTTTGTGAAATATGTCGCTATTCGTTGACTCATTAGAAATTTGCTAGATATTTCTACTTTTGTGAAATAATTCACCATAAAAAATTAGAAGATTTTGTGAAATGAGTTACTATTCAGCTGACTTCAATAAACTGCAAGATTTTGTAAAATGTTACACTATTTGGTTGACTTTCTAGAAAAAACGTTGACAAATTAGAAGATTTTTTGAAATGTTTCACTATGCAGTTGACTTTTTATAAATTTGAAGATGTCTCTACTTTTTATAGAGATTTTGTGAAATCTTTGAATCTTTTGTTACAAGATTTTATGAAAGATTTCACTAGTCAGTTGACTTTTTAGAAATTTCTACTTTTTATTGAGATTTTGTGAAATCTTTGCATTTTTTTTTTTTTTCAACTGAATGTAAGATTCTTTCTTCTTTACTGTTCAGTAAATTGAAATATTTCACTACTTAGTTGATTTTTTAAAAATTTGCGAGATATTTCTACTTTTGTGAAATATTTCACTATTCAGTTGACTTTTTATAAATTTGCAAGATTTCTACTTTTTATAGAGATTTTGTGAAATCTTTGCAAATTTTAAATTTGTAACTGAACTGTTTCTTCTACACTGTTCAGTAAGTCGCAAGATTTTGTGAAATATTTCACTATTTGGGTGACTTTCTAAAAAAAACCGTTGACAAAATTGTAAGATTTTGTGAAATAAGTCTCTATTCAGTTGAATTCAGTAAATGGCAAGATTTTGTGAAATATATTTCTACTTTTTATAGAGATTTTGTGAATTCTTTGCAATTTTTAAATTTGTAACTGAACTGTTTCTTCTACACTGTTCAGTAAATCGCAAGATTTTGTGAAATATTTCACTATTTGGGTGACTTTCTAAAAAAACCGTTGACAAAATTGTAAGATTTTGTGAAATAAGTCTCTATTCAGTTGAATTCAGTAAATGGCAAGATTTTGTGAAATATTTCACTATTTGGTTGATTTTCTAGAAAAAATCGTTGACAAAATTAAACAAGTAAGAAAGTATAGTCGGGCGACCATATGATACCCTACACCAGTTATGAATATTAAATGTGATTTATTTTTCATAATAAAGCATTTATCTTCTATTACCTTGTTCCGATACATTTAAGCAATTTATGAATGAAAAACTTATTTTCTGAAAGAGGCTTTATATGGGGGCTAGGGGCAAATGTGGACCAAGCCCCATTCCATTTTGTGATTATATTTATATTTACATAAAATTTTATTGTGCTGAATTTCATCGCGATATTTGTGTTTATAAGTTAATTTGGGACATTCAAGTAATTTTCTGAAGGGGACTTTGTATGGGAGTAAGGGTCAAATGGGGTCCGATCTTTATGAAATTTGGCAGGGTCATCAAGACTTCTTTAAAACTTAGTTGTGCCATATTTTATCGATATATCTGTATATTTAACATAATTATGAGCTCAGAAGCCTTTTCGGGGGGTTCTGTTCTATTGGGGCTAGGTGAAATAATGGACCGATTTTAACCATTTTCAATAGGCTTCGTCCTTGGGTCAAATAAAACGTGCGTGCCAATGCATCCAATTATCTTGAAAATTGCGACCTGTACATTGCGCACAAAGTTTACATGGACATCCAGCCAGCCAGACGGACGGACGAACATAGCTAATCGACTAAGCCGATTGGTATACTTTAAGGTGGGTCTTGGACGAATATTTTTGTATGTTACAAACATCAGTACAAATCCAATATACCCTTCCCACTAAAGTGGTGTAGGGTATAAAAAATGTCCTAAAAATCAACTGCTCAGTAAATTTCAGTATTTTGTCACTTTTTAGAAATTTGCAAGATATTTCTACTGTTGTGAAATAATTCACTATTCAAAATTAGAAGATTTTGTGAAATAAGTTACTATTCAGTTGACTTCAGTAAATTGCAAGATTTTGTGAAATATTTCACTATTTGTTGACTTTTTAGAAAAAATCGTTGACAAAATTAGAAAAATGTCGTAAAAATCAACTGATCAGTAAATCACAGATTTCATTATTTGAGAAATAATGAACAGTTGATTTTTTAGAAATAGTTGATTTTCTAGAAATACAAAGATTTCACAAAATCTCTATAAAATATCTAACAAATTTCTATTTCACCAAATCTTGCAATTTACTGAAGTCAACTAAATCGAGACTTATTTCACAAAATCTACTAATTTGGGCAACGATTTCTTTTAGAAAATCACCCAAATAGTGAAATATATCACAACTGTTTGCAATTTACTGAACAATCTAGAAACAGTCATACATATTTAAAAAATTGGAAAAAAAAAATCTCTATAAAAAGTAGAAATATCTAAAAAGTCAACTGAATAGTGAAATCTTTCACAAAATCTTGTAATTCACTGAGCAGTTGATTTTTAGGATATTTTTATAATTGTGTCAACGATTTTTCTATAAAGTCAACCAAATAGAAAATTTTTTGAAATATTTCACTATGCTGTTGACTTTTTATAAATTTGCAAGATGTCTCTACTTTTTATAGAGATTTTGTAAAATCTTTGAATTTTTTGTTACAAGATTTTATGAAAGATTTCACTAGTCAGCTGACTTTTTAGAAATTTGCAAAAAATTTCTACTTTTTATAGAGATTTTTGAAATCTTTGAATTTTTTAAAAATTGCAACTGAATGTAAGACTGTTTCTTCTAGACTGTTCAGTAAATGGCAAGATTTTGTGAAATATTTTACTATTAGGTTGACTTTCTAAAAGAAATCATTGACAAAATTAAAAGATTTTGTGAAATATTTCACTCAACTGCTCACTCAAGAAATGCTTAGAAATTTGCAAGATACACTGGTTTCCCGGTTTAACGAATACTCAGTTTAACGAATTCGCGATTTAACGAACGGTCATATTTTTCTCATTGAGTACCTTATATTACGAACAAAACAAATAATTTAGTACTCGATATAACGAATTTTATAAAAACAGACATAAAAAACTATAAAGAGAAATTAAGATATGTGAAAATAAATTCAAGAACATTTTTTAACACTTTTAAAGAGTATTATTCTTGGTAAGAGTGTTTTTCTCAATAGGTACATACTAGGGTGATCGATTATTCGACATTTTCCAAAAACCGGTTTTCGAATAGTTCGAATAGTTGACATTTAAAAAAAACCGGTTGATATTTTTCAAATTCAGAAAAAACCGGTTAACCGGTTTTTCATTATAATTAAAAAAAATATATTTTAATTTGAAAGACTTAATGTTTATGTTTAAATTTGATTAATAAAACATGGCCCGAAGTGATTTTTAACAATTTAAAAGATTATAACTTTAGATCTAGTCGTCTGATTTACATTATTTCTTTAATATAAAAAAATTAGGAAAAAAGTGGGATACTTCTGTTAAACATAAGGTACTATGTAATCCTGGCTTATTTTAAAAGCCCTGTTTAGGAAATTTGCATAGGCATTCCAACTCTTCCATAAAATTTCAGCCGTAAATTAATTATTGTAATTGGAATATAATCTTAAGATTGCTAAATTTTATCAAACAGTTATCAATTTTACAAATAATTTTTTTAATTAATTAGGAAAATCAAAAAAGTTTAACCAAAAGAGCTGTAGAAAATGTACTCTAGTTCCTCGACTCGAATATTTTTAAAATTTAGACGGGCTGTATTATTATTTACTTAAAAATTTCATTTAAATAATCTTTGAATACAAAGCAAATAAAAGTATTCGAAACCGGGTTTTAAAAAGTGAAAAAACCGGGTTATTCGATATTCGAAAAATCAACATTAAGAAAAAACCGACACTGGTAAAGCAGAAAAACCCGGTTTTAAAACCGGTTGAAAAATCGAGTCGATCACCCTAGTACATACATATGTATTAAAATTTTTTCATTCATAAAGTCTGTAAACAACGCAAAACCAAAATACGTTACAATAACAGTAACTTTTTTGTTGTATAAACAACATTTTGGTTTTTTATTTTATGCTGTGTCATTTTTGTTAATTTTTTGAAACGTGAACATCAAAATGCCTAAAAGAAAGCGACTATTACTTAAAGATAAATTAAAAATAATAGAAGAACATGAAAAAGGTGATTGTTTAGTTGATTTATCATTTAAATATGGATTGCCAAAGTCATCGTTATGCACCATAATAAAATCAAAAACAAAACTGTTAAAAGACATGGAAAAAACAAATTTCGGATCAAAACACAGAAGAGCAATGAAAGAGGGAGAAATTCCAAAAATGGAAACGGAATTGTTTAAATGGTTTCAAGACAAGCGAAAAATGAACGTGCCAATAAGTGGCCCTGTTTTACAAACTAAGGCATTGGAAATTCACAAAAAGTTTTACAGTGGTCAATTTAACGCTAGCCACGGCTGGTTTTCTCGATTTAAAAAACGCTACGGTATTCGTTTAATGAAAGAAAGTGGTGAGAAGCTATCATCAAAAGCAGAATTAGTCGAGCCTTTTCTTTTACATTTTAAGGACTTACTTGCACAGCACAGCATTTCTAAAGATGCTATATTTAACGCAGATGAAACCGGGCTTTTGTGGAAAATGTTACCGGACAAAACCTATGTCCACTCAATTAAAAAAAAGGCTCCGAGAAGAAAAATGTCGAAAGAGAGAGTTACTGTGTTGCTGTGTGCAAATTCCAGTGGAACAAAAAAGATAACTCCATTAATGATTGGAAAATCTGCGAACCCAAGAGCTTTTCGAAATAAAACGTTGCCAATAAAATATGATCATTCTAAAAATGCATGGATGACATCATCAATCTTTAAAAATTGGTTTTTCAAAATTTTTGTTCCAGAAGTAAGTTTACATGAAACAATTTATAACTGTTTATTTAAATTTGATTAAATTTTTAAAATTTCAGGTGGAGTCATTTTTAAAAAAGAAAAACTTACCACAAAAGTCGGTATTAATTCTGGATAACGCTCCTTGTCATCCACCAGAAGATGAATTGGTGAAAGAAACGTGCGATGGCAAAATTTGGGCATTATATATGCCCCCAAATGTGACCGCATTAATTCAACCAATGGATCAAAATGCCATAAGGTTGCTTAAACTTCACTACAAAAATAGCCTTTTGTCCAAAATTATAGCTTGTGATCAAGAAAACATTTTGGAAGTTTTGAAAAGATTAAATTTGTACGATGTTGCTACAATGGTAGCTCAATCTTTTAAATCGGTTAATGAAAATAGCCTCAAAAAATGTTGGAATAAGATTTTTATTCCAAGTGTACAGCATTTTGATGAAGAGGACGAAATTCTCTTACAAAGATTGTTACAGACTGATGAAGAAGTAGTGTCACTTTCAAGTGGGATACAACTATTGAACCAAATTTTTCCAAATGTAAGAATAATTATGGCAATGTTAAGTTTATTTTTTGATTGCATTAACTTTTTGTTTTGAATTTCAGAATAATTTAACAGCGGATGATTTAAACCAATGGATTAATGATGCTGATACAGATTTTGATGAGAATGAAACCAGTGAATGTGAGGAAAATGAAGAAAATGATAATCCTTTCGTGGTCGACATAAAAATTAAACATACAGATGTAATTAAACATTTGGAGGAATGCATTAAATGGGGGGAACAGAATAATATTGATGTTTCAAAGAAAATAGTACTTAGAGAGATCCAGGAGGAGGCTATTCAACGCTCTCTTAAATTGCCGCAAAAGCAAACAAGTATAAAAAATTATTTTAAATAATTTTTAAATATATTTTTTTGTTTTATATAGATATTTATGAATTTATTTTTTTTTTCTTGTTTTTATAAGATAAGATGAAATGAAATATGTATAGTTTTGTTATTTTCTTTCAAATAAATAAATAAAACTTAATTTTGTTACAAAATAAAACGTATAATGTCTACCTACGTTGATTAAAAAAAATTACCCCATTTAACGAATTTTTCGATTTTACGAATAGGCCTGACATTATATCATTCGTTAAACCGGGAAACCACTGTATTTCTAATTTTTATAGATATTTTGAGAAATATTTGCATTTTTTTTTTTTAATTTGTAACTGAATGTAAGACTGTTTCTAGACTGTTCAGTAAGTTGTAAGATTTTGTGAAATATTTCACTATTTGGTTGACTTTCTAAAAAAATTGTTAACAAAGTTAGAAAAATATCCTAAAAATCAACTGCTCAGTAAGTTTCAAGATTATGTAAAATATGTGGCTATTCGTTGACTTTTTAAACATTTGAGAGATATTTCTACATTTGTGAAATATCACTATTCAGTTGACTTTTTAGAAACTTGCTAGATATTTCTACTTTGTGAAATATTTCTCTATTCAGTTGACTTTCGAAATTTGCAAGCTATTTCTACTTTTTATAGAGATTTTGAGAAATCTTTGCATTTTTTGAAATTTGTAACTGAATGTAAAACTGTTTCTAGACTGTTCAGTAAATTGCAAGATTTTGTGAAATATTTCAATATTTGGTTGACTTTTAGAAAAAATCGTTGACAAAATTAGAAAAATGTCCTAAAAATAACTGCTCAGTAAATTTCAGTATTTTGTGAAATATGTCGCTATTCATTGACTTTTTAGAAATTTGCAAGATATTTCTACATTTGTGAAATAATTCACTATTCAAAATTAGAAGATTTTGTGAAATAAGTTACTATTCAGTAGACTTCAGTAAATTGCAAGATTTTGTGAAATATTTCACTATTTGGTTGACTTTCTAGAAAAAATCGTTGACAACATTAGAAGATTTTGTGAAATATTTCATTATACATTTGACTTTTTTAAAATATGTCCTAAAAATCAACTGCTCAGTAAATTACAAGATTTTGTAACATATTTTACTTTTCAGTTGACTTTTTAAAAATTTGCAAGATATTTCTACTTTTTATAGAGATTTTGTGAAATCTTTAAATTTTTTTGTTAAATGGGTAACTGATTGTAAGACTGTTTCTAGAAAACCAACTATTCAGTAAATTGCAAGATTTTGTGAAATACTTCACTATTTGGTTAATTTTCTAAAAAAAATCGTTGACAACATTAGTAAATTACAATATATTGTGAAATATTTCACTACTCAGTTGCCTTTTTAAAAATTTGCAAGATATTTCTACTTTTGTGAAATATTTCGCTATTCAGTTGACTTTTTAAAAATTTGCAAGATATTTCTACTTTTTATAGAGATTTTGTGAAATCTTTGCATATTTAGAAAATTAAATTGCAAGATTTTGTGAAATATTAAATTGCAAGATTTTGTGAAATATTTCACTATTTGGTTGACTTTCTAGAAGAAATCGTTGACAAATTAGACGATTCTCTAAAAGAAATCGTTGACCAAATAAAGAGATTTTGTTGACTTCAGTAAATTGCAAGATTTTGTGAAATATTTCACTATTTGGTAGACTTTTTAGAAATTTGCAGTATATTTCTACTTTTTATAGAGATTTTGAGAAATCTTAGCATTTTTTAAATTTGTAACTAAATGTAGGACTGTTTCTAGACAGTTCAGTAAATTGCAAGATTTTGTGAAATATTTCACTATGTGGATAACTTTCTAAAAGAAATCGTTGACAAAATTAGAAGATTTTATGAAATAAAACTTCATTAAATTGCTGGATTTTTTCAAATATTTCACCATTTGTTTGACTTTCTAGAAAAAATCGTTGACAAATTAAAAGATTTCACTATGCAGTTGACTTTTTAGAAATATGTCCAAAAAATCAACTGCTCAGTAAATTACAAAATTTTGTAAAATATTTTACTATTCAGTTGACTTTTTAGAAATTTGCAAGATAATTCTACTTTTTATATTATTTTGAAAAATCTGTGCATTTTTTTAAATTTGTAACTTAATGTAAGACTGTTTCTAGACAGTCCAGTAAATTGCAAGATTTTGTGCAATATTTCACAAGTCAACCAAATAGTGAAATATTTCACAATATCTTACAATTTTCTGAACAGTTGATTTTTTAGAAACAGTTGATTTTCTAGAAATACAAAGATTTCACAAAATCTCTATAAAATATCTACCAAATTTCTATTTCACCAAGTGACTGAAGTCAACTAAATAGAGACTTATTTCACAAAATTTACTAATTTGGGCAACGATTTCTTTTAGAAAATCACCCAAATAGTGAAATATATCACAACAGTTTGCAATTTACTGAACAGTCTAGAAACAGTCATACATTCAGTTACATATTTAAAAAAATGGAAAGATTTCACAAAATCTCTATAAAAAGTAGAAATATCTAAAAAGTCAACTGAATAGTGAAATCTTTCACAAAATCTTGTAATTCACTGAGCAGTTGATTTTTAGGATATTTTTATAATTGTGTCAACGATTTTTCTATGAAGTCAACCAAATAGTGAAATATTTCACTAAATCTTGCAATTTACTGAATAGTTGATCTTCTAAAAATAGCCTTAGAATCAGTCACCAATTTAACAAAAAATTCAAAGATTTCACAAAATCCTTATAAAATTTAAATTTGTAACTAAATGTAGGACTGTTTCTAGACAGTTCAGTAAATTGCAAGATTTTGTGAAATATTTCACAATTTTTTACTTTCTGGAAAAAGTCATTGAATTAGAAAAATGTCCTAAAAATCAACTGCTCAGTAAATTACAGATTTCATTATTCAGTGTACTTTTTAAAAATTTAAAAGATATTTCAACTTTTGCGAAATAAATTACTATTCAGTTGACTTTTTAGAAATTTGCAAGATATTTCTACATTTTATAGAGAAATCGTTACAAAATTAGATTTTGTGAAATAAGTCTATATGCAGTTTACCTCAGTAAATTGCAATATTGTGTTAAATATTTCACTATTTGGTTGACTTTCTAGAAAAAATCGCTAACAAAGTTAGAAAAATATCCTAAAAATCAACTGCTAAGTTAATTTCAAGATTATGTGATTATTCGTTGACTTTTTAGAAATTTGCAAGATATTTCTACTTTTTATAAATATTTTGTGAAATCTTTGAATTTTTGTTATATTGGTAACTGTAAATTTCAAGATTTTGTGAAATATTTCACAAATTGTTAACTTTTTAGAAAAAATCGTTGACAAAATTAGAAAAATGTCGTAAACATCAACTGCTCAGTAACTTACAGATTTCATTATTCAGTTGACGTTTTAGAAATTTGAAAGATATTTCTACTTTTTATAGAGATTTTGAGAAATCTGTGCATTATTTTAAATTTGTAACTTAATGTAAGACTGTTTCTAGACTGTTCATTAAATTGCAAGATTTTGTGCAATATTTCACAAGTCAACCAAATAGTGAAATATTCCACAATATCTTACAATTTTCTGAACAGTTGATTTTTTAAAAACAGTTGATTTTCTAGAAATACAAAGATTTCTCAAAATCTCTATAAAATATCTACCATATTTCTATTTCACCAAATCTTGCAATTTACTGAAAATTGAGGCTTATTTCACAAAATAACGATTTCTTTTAGAAAATCACCCAAATAGTGAAATATATCACAGTAGTTTGCAATTTACTGAACAGTCTAGAAACACTCATACATTCAGTTACATATTTAAAAAAATGGAAAGATTTCACAAAATCTCTATTAAAAGTAGATATATCTAAAAAGTCAACTGAATAGTGAAATCTTTCACAAAATTTTGTAATTCACTGAGTAGTTGATTTTTAGGATATTTTTATAATTGTGTCAACGATTTTTCTATGAAGTCAACCAAATAGTGAAATATTTCACTAAATCTTGCAATTTACTGAATAGTTGATGTTCTAGAAATAGCCTTAGAATCAGTCACCAATTTAACAAAAAATTCAAAGATTTCACAAAATCCCTATAAAGAGTAGAAATATCTTGCAAATTTCTAAAAAAGTCAACTGAATTGTGAAATTTTTCACAAAAATAGAAATATCTTGCAAATTTCTACAAGCCTACCAAATAGTGAAATATTTCACTAAATTTTGCAATTTGGTTGACTTTCTAGAAAAATGGTTGACAAATTAGAAGATTTTTTGAAATATTTCACTATGCAGTTGACTTTTTAAAAATTTGCAAGATGTCTCTACTTTTTATAGAGATTTTGTGAAATCTTTGAATTTTTTGTTACAAGATTTTGTGAAATATTTCACTATTTGGTTGACTTTCTAAAAAAATCGTTAACAAAGTTAGGAAAATATCCTAAAAATCAACTGCTCAGTAAATTTCAAGATTATGTGAAACATGTGGCTATTCGTTGACTTTTTAAAAATTTGCAAGATATTTCTCTTTTTGTGAAATATCACTATTCAGTTGACTTTTAGAAACTTGCTAACTATTTCTACTTTGTGAAATATTTCTCTATTCAGTTGATTATTTCAAGTTATCTATTTCAAGATTATGTGAAACATGTGGCTATTCGTTGACTTTTTAAAAATTTGCAAGATATTTCTCTTTTTGTGAAATATCACTATTCAGTTGACTTTTTAGAAACTTGCTAATTATTTCTACTTTGTGAAATATTTCTCTATTCAGTTGACTTTCGAAATTTGCAAGCTATTTCTACTTTTTATAGAGATTTTGAGAAATCTTTGCATTTTTTTAAAATTGTAACTGAATGTAAAACTGTTTCTAGACTGTTCAGTAAATTGCAAGATTTTGTGAAATATTTCAATATTTTGTTGACTTTCTAGAAAAAATCGTTGACAAAATTAGAAAAATGTCCTAAAAATCAACTGCTCAGTAAATTTCAGTATTTTGTGA